GGATTGGGGGTTTGGGGTTTAGGGTTTAGGGTTTAGGGTTTCGGGTTTGGGTTTAGGGTTTAGGGTTTAGGGTTTAGGGTTTAGGGTTTAGGGTTTAGGGTTTAGGGTTTAGGGTTTAGGCTCAGGGGCTTATGGATTGGAGGTTCAGGGTTCAGGGTCCGGGATTGGGGGCCTAGTGTTTTTGCTTGAAAGGCTGAGGGTAGCCGGTCAGGTTCTGGTGTGCAGCTTCTGCCTTGGCACGGCTTGTTGCGGAAAGCTTCTCTGGTGTTGCGTAATTTCATGCACAGCTTACCCATACGATCCTTTAGATTGCTCCTTAACAATTTCTATAAACCCTAAACCCTAAGCGCTAAACCCTAAACCCTACGAGGCACCAAAAGAAGACTTCCCCCTACTCTTCCCCAGGCTTCCGTGTTGGTCCGAGTGGGATTTACGACTTCAGGTCCCCTAACGTGGGAACCTGATTAAGAAACCTTGGGTCTTTATTAGGGTTTATGGTTTAGGGTTTAGGGGTTTTGGGGTTTAGGGCTTAGGATATGAATCCTAACATCTGGGTTTATGGTTTAGGTTTTGTTTTAGGGTTTACGGAGTGTGAATCCTAATATCTTGGGGTTGCAGGGCCAGGGTTTCTTAATCAGGCTCCTACATTAAACCCTGAACTTCCGAAACCCTAGAATCACTGTAGAGCCCGTAAGCACAGTCGAGGGTCTAGGGTTTAAGGCTTAGGGTCTAGAGTTTAGGATACCATAACTGGGCACATCGCACAAAAACCCTGTTACTTCATGAGCTTCTGCATCTTCTAGCCTGGCCTGCGCGAGGTGATATGAGCTTAAATACCTAAGCCTGAGGCTGGACTTGATGGTATGGGAAGTCATCCTACACCCTAAACCGCCTAAACCGCTGCGAGTCTACTTGGGGGTCTTCGGGTTAAGGGGAAGTCCTACACCACTGAGCTGTTTAAAAACCCTGAAACCCTGCAAACCCCCAAGCTCTCGACCTCCAAAGCCACCCCAAAAATCCTGTCAGAGGCTAGGAAGCGTCATCACCATAATTGCCCAGACCGTCGACTTTGATGTGCAGAAACTCTACCTTAAACTCTAAACCCAGAAGACCATGATCCCTAAAAGTCTAAACCCCAAACCCTGATAAAGGACACCTGGCGGGAGGTTCGTTGATGAACTGCTCCGCCCGGTTGATCACCTGCGACATGCCCGAGCAAGGCAGCTCGAGATTGGGATTTTAGGATCTTCCGGTTTTACAGTATATTACAATTTTAATAAGCCCCCAAAATAGTAGAATAAGCAACCCCCCAAAATAGTAGAGGTGATTATTAAGATTTCTAGGTAATTATTAAAGCCCCTACATTAGGGCTTTAGGGTTTGGGGTCGGGGAATGTGAACATGCTGACTGACGCTCATGCCGGTTGCATGTCCTCTCTTCTCCAGACAGGATGATGCCAGGATGATGGTGAAAGTGACTGTGCCATCTTGAGGAGAGTGATGAGGAAGAGGATCATGGTGGTGATAGTGATGACAATACTGGCGTTAAGGATCCTGGCGATGAGGATTTTGGACAGTGATGATGATGGTGATGGTGATGATGATGATGATGACGATGATGATGACGATGACGACGATGACGATGACGATAATGATGAAAACCGTGATGACGATGACGATGCTGATGCTGATGCTGATGATGACGATCATGGTGAGGACGAGGATGACGATGATGATGATGATGACGCTGATGACGATGACGATGACGATAATGATGAAAACCGTGATGACGATGACGATGCTGATGCTGATGCTGATGATGACGATTATGGTGAGGACGAGGATGATGAGGAGGAGAGTAGAGACAGACGTGGTGATGTTCATGGTCATGCTGATGGTGCCGACAGCTGCTCCCCTCTCCGGGCGGGGAAAGGGCACTTTGCTATTGTCAGGCCAGAAACACATTCAGCAAGAACATCAATGGCAATGAAATAAGAACAACAAAACCTACGAGTACCATCAACAAACCTGTAAGACTCGCAACCCAACCCCGAATATCTGAACCCTTTGGCCAAATTTCTTGAAGCCTCCCAAGCCGTAAACCCAAATGACAGTGCAAATCACAGTACACGTGGCTTGTGACCCTTGCACCTCCACCCCGGTCCCAGCGATTTCTGGGGTGAGCTCCGCATTGAGCATTCGCTCGAAGTGATCCTTCAGGAGCTGCTCGTACCTGATGGTTAGAGGTCAGGGATTACGGGTGCAATTTGAACTGGGGTTCCCCAGCCGCTCGTGCCTTGCGGTTTTGGGTTTAGGGTCGAGAAAGCTTAGAAGCATCATACCTCCCTGCAACTCCCGGTCTGAACACAATCCGCGTTGTGTCTACCTAATTGACTGGGGCCATGAAGAGATCGTAAGAGCCAAGATACTGCAAGTGCTGCTCAAGACGCCGCGGGAGGCCGCTGATGTACAGCCTCAGGCATCTGACGTAGGGGCCTTAACAAGAATGCCTTTCGCTGTGTACTAAATTTAAGTGCAACGCGGAAGCCTCGGAAACAGTACTAGTAATTGTTTTGGGCTCCAAGATTTGCACCATCACCGTGAAACATCCCTTCGCAGTCAGCGCGACGATAACCCATCTCATCTGCAGGTCCTGTACAACGCTGCGCTAGGGACCTCGTGCACTTACATGAAGCAAGCAGCGTGTAGGCGTCGGGGGTCACCACTTCCTTCCTCTCTCGTGCCACCGCGTCGGGGATCGTCTTCTGACAAAACCAAAACCTGGCAAGACAACCCTAAACCCTAAACCCAAAACCCCTAAACCCTAAACCCTGAGCCCTAAACCTCCAACCTGAACCTCTGGCTCCAAGAACTGTTACTAACTTCCAAGCCTTGCTCAAGCCCTTTCTTCCTCAGGACCTCCCACGCCCTACAGAAGCCCTAAGTGCATCCTATCTAAACCCGTAAACCCCCAGTGGCGCCCCATCTGAAGGAACCCCATAAAGGATCACCTTTAGAGACCAAGGATCCCCTAAAGGAGCCCCTGAAAAGGGGAACCCTGAAAGGAAGCCTTCAAGAATCCCAAGAAGGGGAACCCTTAAAGGAACCTTTATAAAAAGAACCCTTACCTTAACCCCAAAGAGACCCACCTTTTTTAGGGGCTTCTTCTTAAAAATTCATAAATAAGGAACCCTAACAAGGCTGGGTTCTTTCGGGTCCAGGTAAGGGAACCCTCTTCGGCCCTAACGCCCTAAACCCTAAACCCTCTTGGGGGTCGGGAGCCCAGGAGCGCGACGGCCCAAGTGGCGCCCATGGCCACAGCATCCAGCAGACCGGCCCAGTAGCTAAAGTCGGCGGCCGGGATGTCGAAGGGACCTGTGGCGTAGTGGGTTAGGGTTTAGGGTTTGTGGTTTAGGGTTTAGGGTTCAGGGTTCAGGGGTTTGGGGTTTGGGGTTTAGGGTCTAGGGTTTTGGGTGGGATGTTGTAGGGACCTGTGCTATGGCGAATGTAGGGGCTACTGTGAGGCACTGTAAGCATCACACGATAATTGCTTAGGGCTTCTGGGCTTTAGGGTTCCAGGGTTTAGGGTTGGGGGAGTAGGAATTCATGGCCTTACTGCTTCAGGGTTCTAGGGTTTAGGGATTTAGCGTGTAAGGTGCAGGGTCTTGGTTGCTGCAACTGCTGTTCTTTCATATATCAGACTACACGACTGTACCAAGCTCCAAGAAATTCAAAAACACTGGAGTCCGGAGAAATAGCCCCCGTCGGCAGCCTGTTCTAATCATTAGGTCCCTTATGCTATGGAACCCTAATCACCTCCAAATCTCCGTCAGAACCCTTAAAGCCCTGATACCCCTGAGATGAACCAGAACCTGTTACCAGCGCCCTAAACCGTAAACCCTAAACCCTGTGAAGGAACCCTCAAAGAAGCCTCAAAGAAGCCTTGAAGAACTCTGAACCCTAAAGCCCCTTAAAAATTAAAAAAGAACAAGGACCTCTTCTATATCGGACCTACCAGCCGTCTAAAGAACCCCCAGAAAGTTCAGGGCTTAGGGGGTAGCGTCTTCGAGAAGCCCGTAATGGCTAAACCCTAAACCCTAAACATCCGGACCTGAGTTGATGGTTCCGTTTTTCTGTAGGTTGCCCAGAGTGCTCCATGCCAGTACCTGGGCTACTCGCGAGGCCAACTTCAGAAGGTTTTACGGGCTTTGGGCTTAGGGCTTAGAGTTTAGGGCGTGCGGGATTTAGGGTGTTCGGGGCTTTTAGGGTTTAGGGTTTAAGTAATTTTTTGGTGCTCAAAAAAGATGTGAATTAAACTCCAGTCCAAAAAACACCAAGCTCTCCCGTGCCCGCGTCGATGTTGTCAAGTCCGTTCCCAACCAGGCTGAGCAACAGCAGCGGCAGCACCAGAATGCTACAGAGAGCGAAGGTGATGCCAAGACGTACCGTAAAGCCGAAATAGAGGGAGATGCCTGTACTACAAAAACGTGAACCCCCAAAACCCTATTCTGATTATTAAGACCCCGAAATAGAGGGAGATGCCTGGGCCATACTCTTGGAGATCGGCTGCTTTGGTAGACCATATCGGCCAGAGCTTTCCGGCAGGATCACGGCAGAGGCATTGACGGAGGTGCGCGCGAGCTGCGACGATCAGCTGCTTCTTCTCCACAGTGCCGCTGTGCTCCTAAACCCTAAAGCCCTAAACCCTAAACCCTAAGACCCTAAGCCCTAAAACCCTAAACCCTAAGACCCTAAACCCTAAACCGTTCTTCTCCACAGTGCCACTGTGCTCCTGCTCCTCGGCGCGGAGCACCAGGGAGCGGTCTGTGGCCAGCGCCAGGTCGCGCTGCAAAGCCAGGGTTTGGTGCCTAGGCTCCCCAGTAACCCGCTAATAATAAGGGTACCCTTTTTTCCTAATATTAGGCTTTAATAAATAATAAGGGTATCCTAATATTAGGCGTTAATAAGGAGACCCCCAAAATAAAAAGGGGCAACAAGGGTACTACTGGGAAACCTAGGTGCACCGCGCTCTCCAACTTCTCTTGGGCAACGACGACCTCCTGCATGAGATCCTCGAGCTGCTCCTCTGCCAGGGAGATGATGTCATGATATGTGCAAAAAAAAGAACGCAGCAACACAACATCTGTACTTTATATTCTACTCTACTCTCCCCTACACTACTCTAGGATGCTATACATCTACACCATCCTACACTCTATTGATCTGCTCCTTGGCCAGGGAGAGGTCCTGTTCTTGCGCCACAGAATCCGCCTGCTTCCTGACCCACTCCTGAAGGCCCGTGACGAAGGCCTCCACGCTCTGGAGCTCCCTCGTCGGATCTTGGAACTCCTTCTTGGGCTCCGCCTCTGTTCCTGTGGGACCTTCCCCAAGTCTCTGGGCTTCTTCCGCTGTCTCGGCTCCTGGGAGCTCTTCGTTCTCCGGGGCCCTGTCTGCCCCGGGCAGCTCCGCAGCTTCTGGGAGATCTTCCCGCGGCCCCTCCGGCAGTTCCAGCAGCGGCTGCCCCTCGACAGCCATGGCGTGGACTCCCCGGAACAGGATCGAGTTTAGGGTTTAGGGTTTAGGGTTTAAGGTTTAGGGCTAAAGTACCTTGGAAGAAAAATCTGCCCCCCTATTTTGCGGAAACATAGAAACTTGCAGTGGCCTCGGGATGATTGGCGCTTCGCAATTCCCCTGCTGAGGCAGCCCCCTTTGGCCAAATGTCTGCATAGTCTTGTAGAAGCAAACCCTCAAAAAAGGGACCCTTTGTCTAGAAGTTTGCAAGACCTCGGGATGAGAAAAAAAAACCATCTTCGTTCACCCATGCAGTTTAGGGTTTAGGGTTTAGGGAGTGCAAAGGCCACTCGCCTGGAGAGCCAAAGGCAGTCACAGTGCCGCAGACGTGGAGACCACCCCGGTTCTGATTGAGAGCCCGAAGAACCTGACGCGTCGGGGATGAACCCCGATGCCACCAACGAAACAAGCGGCAGCCTCATTGAAAGGAGCCTAAAAGGGGGCTTTAGGGTTTAGGGTTTAGGGTTGGGACTCTAATTTAGAGAACTACCCCTACTAAAAGAACCGGCAGACTGGGTAACGAAGAACATCCATTCTGCTACATGGCCCCCGAATCCCGGAACACTGGACTCTAAACACTGAGCGCTAAGCTCTAAGCCCCAAGCTCTACATCCCAAACCCTAAATCCTAAGCCCTAAGCCTAAACCTTAAGCCCAATATCCTAGACCCTCAGCCCTAAGCCCCAAACCCTGAACCCCAAAACCCTATACCCAAAACAGCGAAAGAGGCCCCCAGCAGTCTAAGCCTTCCAAGTCCAGAACGTGGCCTTTCCATCAACACTACTGCTCAACATCAATAACCATGACAACGACAGTTTAGGGTTTGGGGTTTAGGGTTTAGGGCACAGTAATAAAAGTAATAACAAACATAGGACTAATGATCATCATGCGGCTAAATACACCTACTGCTACTCCTGCTACTCCACAGATGAGAACGTTTTTCCGCGTCAAAACCAAGCGCTCGGAGGCGCGCGTGCGTTCGATCTCTCGTCGCCAAAAGCGATCAGATCAAAATCAGCCATCGGCTGACTCAAGGCTCCGCTGCCAGCATGACCTGAGATACAGCATAGTTCGATGCATCGTATAGAGTTCGGTATACGGTATATAGTATACAGTATGTAGTGTATAGCAAATGGTATTTAGTATTTAGTACATAGCTAGAAACTTACCAAAAGGATTAAAAGAAGGTTACTATAGCTGTGACGATAAGCGTGAGTATGCGGGTTAGGGCTTCGGGTGACTAGACGGGTAAGAATGAGGGCCACTGTCAAGCTTACGATTCGGGTGTAGGTTTTCAGGCTTAGGGGCTGAGGATGTAGAGTCTACGTTAGACTGGTTTGAAGGTGTAGGCTTTGTTAGGTGTAACACTCAGGCTCAACAAGTGGTGGGTGCCGGTGTCGGCTTGCTGTTTGGGATAGATTACGTATCGGGGTTTGCGGGTGTAGGGTCTAGACTGACAGTTTAGGGTGCGAGGCTGGTGTGCCTAGGGTGACATACGGGGTTCCCTCAGGGTGATATCCTACAGTTCAACAAGCGCTGTCCATGCTTAGGTTTCACGGGTTGCCTGCTAGCAGTTTTCTGCGACTGACAAGCAATTAGTATTAGTATTAGTAGCATTCGCACGAACTTTTGCAGCATTACAGCATTACCATTATATTCCTATTAGCAGAACTACGCACTAGAAATAAGTGTGTTAGGTAGTAGTGCCAGTATTCTTAGTGTCGGCGCCATGACCCTAAACCCCGAACCCTCAAACCGGTATGACTAGCATCATCTTGAATCTGAGGCCAGGCAGCACTTTTTGGGAGTTCCCGTCCCTTTGCAGCAGCCTTTGCCTGAGAACCCTTACGTTCGCCGTAATTGGGTTTAGGGTTGAGGGTTGAGGGTTTCTGAACCCCAAACCCTAAACCCTAAACCCCAAACAAAGCCTCCCCCTCCGCACCCCAGATCCCACAAGAAAAGTGAAGCTGGGGAACCCTAGCATAGTACCCTAAAATAGTAGGATCCGTATTATAAGGACCCCAAAATAGGATACCCCTTACTTTCGGAAACTCCCCTAAACCCTAAACCCTAAACCCTCACCCAGATTCCCACAAGAGAAGTGAAGCGGCATAGGGAGTCGGTGCCGCCTGCGGTGCCGAGCCATCCTTCGACTCCTCCATTTTGCGACTGGTTTAGGGCTTGTAGGGTTTAGGGTTTAGGGTTTGTAGCTTGTAGGGTTTAGGGTTTAGGGCTTGTAGGGTTTAGGGCTTGTAGGGTTTAGGGTTTGTAGGGTTTAGGGTTTGTAGGGTTTAGAGTTTAGGGTTTGTAGGGTTTAGGGTGTAGGGCTTGTAGGGTTTAGGGTTTGTAGGGTTTAGGGTTTAGGGTTTAGGGGTTTGTAGGGTTTAGGGTTTAGGGGTTTAGGGTTTCCCGGTTTAGGGTATTCAGGGAGGTTGAGCTCTGAGTTCTTAAACCCACCGAAAAGCAGGGGTGGGAAGCCCCAAATTCCCAAAAAACGCTGTAAAAAAAGGTTGGAGGACCCAAACCTGACAGAACGCCTTAGGCCTTTTAAAGGGGCCTTAGGCCGTGACAGCTTTCGAAGAGAGCTTTGGCAACTGTTTAGGCTTTAGGGTGTTTAGAGTTTAAGGGTTTAGAGCGTAGGCGGCAACTATACTCCAGCATATTTCATAGGGATGGCAACGGGGCATTACTACCTTTAGCGCAGCTGAAAGCCCAGCCCCAACATGACGATGCAAGAACGTTCATGCGATCACAAGTCCACGTCAAGACACGTAGCAAATAATGCGGCCGTTCGGACCTATCCCCCCCTCTCCTTTGGCACGAGTAGGCGGGACATACCAAGAGAAAGCTTGAACATCGCATCGCGATCAGGTCATCGTACATGTATGAGGTGAGGGTGACAGCACAGTACTGCACGTTATGTTCCACTGTCGCTGCATCCAGATTGCCTGGCGATGGCCTGAGTGTAGTGGGCCTGGAGGGGGTTTCTGAGCAAATGTTCAACCGCATGCTCGGCCCTTTCGGCTGTGAGATCAGCAATCCGACGGCCATCGAGAGCTTCTGAAGAGGGGCCGCTTGGGCCAACACACAGCGTGGAAACTGGAACATTTGCGGCTCACCATGCCCTAAACCCTATAACCTAGACCCCTAAACCCCTAAACCCTAAACCCCTAAACCCCTGCACCCTAAAACCTAGACCCTACGCCATTATTTCATTCAACTGGAGATCGCAGACCTGCGCCACTGTGCGAGGATGCATGATTGGATGTCGCTGACATCTCTGCAACGAACGCGTGTGAAGATCACCCCACCTTTCAAACGGTCCCAAGACCCACACCCCAATACAGAAGCCTGAAAAAGTTACCAATACTATGTTTCATGGTTCCGGTTATAATCATGCATGGCATACAATTGCACGGTTTAGGGTTTAGGGCTAGGGTTTCCATTCGCCAAAACCTATCCAAATTGTAAGCCCCCCATAGGGATCCTTTCCCAGGCTTCCGGTGTCCAGCAGAAAGGTGACCAGGTGCTGCTTTCGCTTGGCGTGGCGCCGCACTTTGGTGCCGGTGGTGCGGGAACCGCACCTGTGCTGCTGGGCTTCGGTTATATTGGCCTTTATCGCTAGAACAAAGTTTGGGGTATAATATACAATAAGTATATTCGGGACGAAGGAATAACGTTGGCAATAGTTCTTCTTCAGCCTCAGCTCTACTCCAAACTGAAAAAGCCTTACACCCTGGAGAACCGAACAGCCCCCCAAAACCAATATGCACAAGCAAAAGCCGAAGAGCGCTAAACCCAAAGGTTCTAAGGAGTCCATGCCCAAAAGCCCAGAAAGCTAAAGACCAGAAGTTTGAGTTTGAGGTGTCACAAAAAAGCCCTGAAGTGCAGAACCCACGCCGGCAATCCTCAAACCCCAAACCCTAAACCCTAAACCCTAAACCCTAAACCCTAACCCTAACCCCTAAACCCACCCAGGTGAACCCTTGGCCCGCATGGGCGGTTCAGGGCCGAGCCCGGAATCTAAACCCAAACCCGCAGCTCCAGCACCAGAACCCCTAAAGACCATGACCCAAATCGCCAAGAAACCCTCAACGCTAAACCTCTAAACCCTAAACCCCTAAACCCTAAACCCTAAACCATAAATAACACAGCCTTGGGGCGCTGCGATCCCGAAGCCTGAAATACGGAAGCCTCGACTCCAAAATCCCAAGCCATCCTAAACCAAAATCCGTAACTCCTAGGGTTTAGGGTTTAGGGGTTTAGGGTTTAGGGTTTAGGGTTTCTAAACCTCAGACCCCATGTGCCTCCAAAGCCCCCCCGATGCTAAGCCCCTCAACGTTAGAGCTTCGAATCTTCGGGCCTCACGATGGTTTTCACAAAGCTTTTTGGAAGCTTAGGCTTAGGGGTCTCGGCAGAAACGTCAACTTAAGACGGCAAGGTCCCAAAGCCGTCTAAAGCCCTAATCCGATAATCCCTCAACTCTAAGCTCTAACACCGAAGCCCTACGGCCTCATCCCATACTGCCCGAAGAGCCCGCCGACGCTGAAGCCTCCCCAAGCTCTCAACTTGCCTGCTTTGTGCCAGCAAATCTCGCAGCCGAGGCTCTCAGGAATTTCCGTGGAGGCCCAGCAGGTTTTTTTTGTTTTGGGGTTTAGGTTGGTTGGTTGGGTTTAGGGTTCAGGGTTTAGGGTTTAGGGTTTAGGGTGGTTGGTTGGTTGGGTATAGGTGTTAGGGGTTTAGGAGGCAAAAAGGGGTTTAGGGCTTGAAGGAGTGATCTCGAGTATTAATGCTTGCTGCTATATGTTTTGCTCGCCAAGAGTTTTTCGGATGGGTCTAGTATCATGTCAGTTGTGGATTCCTGGCGATGCTATCACTATACCATAGGGGCCTACATACTATTTTGGGGGTTCCCTTATTCTACATATACTATAAAGGAGCCCGGAACCTTATCCCAATTACTCAGGCAAGTTTTTGATATCTTTCAGTGTTCTGACGGCTCTTTCAGTTTCGCTTTGGTCAGGGCTGGTCTAAGGTTGCCGTTGAAGCTTTCGAGTAGGGGGCTGAGGGTATACTTTCTTTTCTTTGCACCGCAACACCACGAAACATCGTGGTGCCGTTTTCAAGCATGTTTAAACCCTAGACCCGTATGTGTTTCCAGGGTGAACCTTGAGCACTAAACCGGCTGCTTCTCGATTGAAATCTGCACTGAAAGTGTTGGTTGCTCTGCACGTGGGATGCCTGAAACACCACTAGAGCCGCTAGACTCGCCAGGCCTAGAAGCACTAGAACCCCAAACCCTAAACCCGAAATCCTTAACGAACGCCCGAAATCCTGAAGCCCCTAAAACATCTGTCGAGACGGAGGCGACGGCCCTTGCGCAGCTGCGAAGGACACCTGCCGGAAGTTCCGCGTCCGCAGCGACGGGCGACGCAGAAAGCGAGCACGCGGGGCAGGCTCGGGGGTGTAGGGGTTAAGGGTTTGGGTTTGTGGGGTTAAGGGGTTAAGAGGTACAGCCATGGATAGTCAGATAGTCTTGATTCGTCGCAAGTATCCGCTTGGCATTTAAGGGTGTTAGATAGCACGAGGACTTATGACAATTACCAACCTGGGGGTTCATCTTTTTCAACTTGTAGTACAATGAACATCATCTGCAAGCTGTAGAGTGTTCTTTTTTCTCGATCTCTCAACCTGGATGTCTTTGTTTGGCAGGCTGTCAACCCAGCAAAACCCTAAACCCTGAACTCTAAGCCTAAATCCGAAACCCGACACCTTGCCCTGGAAGCCTACACACATGCATGAGGCGGCCCAGGCCATCCGTGAAAGCGAGCGCTCGCCCGCCATGGAGATGTGCTTTGCAAGCGTGTAGTTCGTTTTCAGGGTTGACGGTTTTTCGGGTTCATGATATAGGATATTGGGTTTAGGGTTTTAGAGGGTTTAGGATTTAGGGTTTTCAGGTTTTAGGACGGCGGTTTGGCCTGTCAACTGGACTCTTGTGAGCTTGGACCCGCCCTTGCATGACTGGCAGGTCATGCGGAGTTCAAGTCTGCGTCAGTCGTTTAGGAGCTAGGACGGAACTGCGAAACGAGATTCTTGAGGCTGCCCTGCCGGAAGCCCTCAACCCTAAACCCCAATTTGCACCCTGTTTGCGAAGAGAAAGAGCCGCTGCACCTGAAAAGAAAACCTTCAACCCTAAACCCTAAACCCTGAAACCAGAAAAAAACCCTGAAACCCAAAACCCTGAAACCAAAAAAAACCCTGAAACCCTAAACCCTGAAACCAAAAAAACCCTGAAACCCGAAAACCCCCGAAACCCTAAAACCCTAAACCCTGAAACCCTAAACCCTAAAACCCTAAACCCTGCATTTTGGCTTTGGATCAAGATCGGCCCATTTATGCTTCAAGCAGATGTGATGTTTTAAATTACGGATTGTCATCGCGAGTTTAGAATCTGGGCAACGTCACAGTGCCTGGCAACACTTGTGACTTCTCTTGTAGCAATCACTCGAGCTGAGGGTTTATGTTGGGGGCCTTGTTTCGAGATTGTAAGTCAGAAGTCTTCCTTCCGGGCTTTAGGCGCTCTCGCAGTGTACACCATCCGCTTGCTACAACTCTCTGGATCGTCCTTCACAGAGTTCGAGCTTCCACCTGCTGCCTCCATCCGTGAAGTGCTGCAAAGTGCTCGCGCGTCCCTCGGCTGCGACCCGAAGATTCGGCTGCAGCTGCTTTTCGCAGATCGGCCGCTACAAACGCAGGAGACCTTGTCCTCCCTGGGCCTGCCGGGCCCTCCCTTTCAGGTGGACCTGCAAGCTCCTGCAACAACCCAGGCTCGTTGAGCGAATTGGCAGGCATACCTCTGAGTACCAGAGAGTTGATATTGGCATCTGCGGGCAGCGCGTGGCTGGCAAAACAAGCTTCTTCAATCAGTATGTGCATCACCGTTTCCATGTGGATGACACTTACTGGGGGCGCACCTATCCAGAACTGGGGGTTGTAAACCTCCGAGTCGAGAAGGAGGACAGCATGGTTCCCGTTCGGCTTCACCTCTGGGACATGCATGCAAAGTGGCACTGTGGATGGAATTCCGAAGCACATCGTGATATGTTCCGAAAGCATGCGATAATCTTCGTGGTGGACCTGGAGTACAACGTGGATCTTTTTGAGATTAAGTGCTTGCTGAACGGACCTGCGTCGGAGACGGGCTCAGCAGAGAGAGTCCTGGTGGGCAACAAGGCAGATGCTGCTGCTCCTGGCAACACCGAAGAGGCCGAGGCTTTCGCTACGGCGAACGGCTTGACGTACTTCGAGGCCTCTGCCAAAGATCACGAGAGTGTAGACGCGGTCCTTCGGCACATCCTGCTTTCCGTGATGGACAAGCTGGAGCTAAACCTAACGCGTGTTGGCCCACCGCCACGTCTAGACCGGTCGCGCTGCGCTTTGCAATAACCTGGAGGGACGAGTCGTACTGCAGCTCTCACCAGGGTCCAAAGCGAGAGTATATTGGGAACTGAGCTTTCGGGAAGCTAGACAGTGACAGAGCAGCAGAGACGATTTGAAGCCTTTATCCGCTTAGAACGAAAGGTGGGTTTCTGCGGTTTTTGGTTGAGACTTCCATCTCATGTGGCTCTCATGAAACTGTGCAGAAGTACGTTGCAAGTCTCGCTAAGATGCCCCAATATCCAGCATGGACTATGGTATTTACACACAGTCTAGTCTCGTACTTACATATACTCTCACAACATACCTCAAAACCCTATTCTAATCACTGAGGCCTCCAAACCCTAAACCCTAATGTCCTTGACTGTTGCCCGCACGACCTGGTCTCCCGTGTAGATCCTGACTGTAGTTGGCATGCTAGCCCTTCACCTTGGTAGTTTGTAGGTTGTCTTTGTAGGTTGTCTGCAGTTTGAACGGGCCACCGAGTTGCTAGCTGTAGCTGTTCTTTCCAGGACGCCCTTTTCGGCGCTTTTACGGTAAGGGTTTTAGACTTTGGTCTTGGACTTGATTCTTTCCTTGTGGGGGTTCTCGTTTCTGGTTTCACGCCGACCTCGAACCATGGACCTCGCCTGGCTAGTCCGAGTCGTGAGAGCGTAAACCCTAAACCGAACCCTAAAGCCCGAGGTGTGAGAGCGTAAAGCCCAAGCTGAAGAGCGAGAGCCAAAGCCCCGTGGCCCAGATGTCCCTGAAGCCATGCCGGTACCCCTTCAAAGGCCCCCACGGTTTAGGGTTTAGGGTCTAGGGTTTAGGGTCTAGGGTTTAGGGTTTAGGGTCTGGTTTTTAAGGACGTGCCTAGGGTGTGGGATTTTAGGGTTTAGGATCTAGGGTCCCCTCATCTACCCTGTCTTGGGCCCTAAATACCCACTCTTTGCGACCATAGTACTCCGGTTACTTCGGATGCAGGCGTTGTAAAGCACTGCAACCGACTTGAAGCCGACTTTTTCCACAGTGCCTTCTACTACTTTAGGGTTTAGGGTTTAGGGTTTACGATTTTTTCAACCCATCAAAAAGGCAGCTCGCGGAGCCCCAGGTACGGAAGCCTGAGACATTTCAGGATTACCTGTAGCCGGAAAGACCTACCTTTCTAGGGTTCCTTATTTCTATATATAGTTCCTTAACAGGTAGGGGATACCCGAAGCCAGCTGTCTCTTGTCTGCCTGATGTTTCAGGATCTACAGAATCGAGGAGCCACAGCTGTCAGGCCAGCCAGCTGGTGCCGTATTGTAGATTGTAGAAGCTTGATCATAGGGTTGCGGGGTTGGGTTTGGGGTTTAGGCTTTGGGGTTAGGATTTAGCTTTCAGGGTTTGGGTTTGGGGTTTAACAGTTTGGGGCTGGGGTTTGTTGTTTAGGGTTGGTTTAGGGTTTAGGGTTCCAAGCCCCCGAGGAAGAAGTTTTCCAACCTTTAAACCAAAGCATGCTTCAAGGTGCCTTCAGTGCTTCTAGCTCTATCTTGCAGTAAAGCCCAACAAGTACCCACTAAGGTCTGCCGCCCGATTTTCACTCATATCCCCAGATCTCGGCCCAAACAACTGCAGAGCTGGATGCCTTCAGTGGAACCCCAGACACCAGACCCTGAGTCATCGTTCAACAAGCGTTGTTAAAGAAGACACTGCTATCCAAAATTCCACGCATCGCTAAGGGCCTTAGTATTGGGACCCCTCTACAACCTTTGTGGAGGGCAGGGGTAGTCATTGGTTGGGGGTCTACATGATGTACCCCGCGTGTATCCGCAGGCCACGCCACAGTGGAGCAAGCACTGAACATGCCTCGAGCCTTGCAATGGACTCCTGAATGCGGGGTTTTAGGGTTTAGGGCATTGGGTTTAGGACTTAGGGGCAGCAGGAGAGTCGTCTATGCAAAGCCACTATGGTACCAGCGTGCGTGCATGTGCGCGACTGATTTTTGAGCAAGACACACAATAAATTGTCATAGATAATTATTGGACCGATGTCTTTTTGGGATTCGTGATCCAAGCGAGAAGTAAGGGCTTAACACTGAATTCCAAAATGGCCGATTCGATTTGACGGTTGTCGCGGCTAAGACCCACTTGTAGGCGTAAGGCTGCCGTGCCAGCCCTCTTGGTTTGGCCAGATGTTCCCCAGCACACTCAGCACAACAGACCCTATAATTCCACATGCAGGCCTGTGTCTCAGTATTTGGATTAAGGCATTCAGCGTTTGGATGGTCTTGGGGTCTGGGCGGTTTAGGCCTTAGAGATTCAGAGTGCGGGAATTTGGACTTGTGGGTGTAGGACAGGGACGTGGGTGTGGGTTTTAGTGTCTTGGTTCTTGCTGACAGTCTTAAACTGCATTCCACAATCGGGATACACAGTCAACATGGCTATCCCCATTCAGTGCTTGAAGCTACCTCCCTGAATAACAACGCGGCCTTCCAAAGCTTCAGCCCACAAGCCCCACCGCCCCCCCCCCACAACACCGTCAAGCCCTGTCAGGTCCTGGTACACGAAAATCTACACAGGCCGTACCCAGACCCGAGACCCCCTAAACCCACAATCCTCACCTAAACCCTAGACCCGAAGACCTAAACCCCATGACCTAAACCCTAAACCCTAGACCCTATGACCTACACCCTACACCCTAAACCCTTAAACCCTGCCCCAATGTGGGCTTCGGAGCCGCCGCGACGAAAGGGGCCCTCAAAAAAAAAAACCCTTAAACCCCAAACCCTAAACCCTTGAAACCCCGAAACCCCAAAACCACTAAACCCCTAAACCCCAAATCCTAAACCCCCAAAACCCCAAAACCCCTAAAGCCCCTAAACCCCCTAAAACCCCTAAA